AAGATAATTTCACTCTCGGTGTTCAACGCATTCCGCACGGACGGACACAGACAGACCAACCTCTCCTTAAACCCGTGGTGTTTCTACTGCATGGGCTTCTGGCAGATTCCTCAACCTGGGTGCAGAATTACCCGCACGATAGTCTGGGGTACATCTTAGCGGACAGTGGTTTTGATGTTTGGCTTGGAAACGCCCGGGGAAACCGATACTCTAGACACAATACAGTCTATAAGCCATGCCAACGAGAATTCTGGGACTGGAGGTGAGTTTGGGTGGAATGGTGTATGGCCGTCAGTACAGGTTTTCCACTTCTGTGGAAGCGTGAGGAAAGCCTGATATAGGCTAGCCTGCGTGGCAGGCGTTAAAACCTGCCACGCAGGCTAGATATAGGCGGGAATCTTAATCCGATGAGTCACTCGTATTATATAGTGTGTGCTCTGCAAAGTTCATTCACATGAACAGTGACATTGGGTCTATTTCAGGCGTCATAAGTAATGATAAATGTTTCATGGTTTTGAACAATATGGGACCATGTATTGTTCATTACAGTGGCCGACCAATCGTTTGTGGATAGGTTTAGCAGTTCTTTTTTATCGTTACGCAAGCCCCCTCTTCAACGCTCCTTGGCGAAGAATGCGTGACGAAACAAAAGGACTTCAGCCTAGAAGGTAGATCTTCCGGTCTCCTTTAGTTAAGAAGTCTCCTTTTACCTTTCTGGGAAACTGCCCACCTACCTCTCCCCTAATGCAAGCCAACTTTTGGCCTTAGTTGAGAAGTGAGTATTAATGTTTGCTTAGAGGAGGGGTAGGCGGGCAGTTTCCCAGAAAGATAAAATGATCCGAAACAATCGATAGTTACACGGATAACGAGCCACTTTAGCCAATCAAGCGGAGGCTCATTTAGGCTTGTCAAGCAGTCCATCCCACTGTAGTATAGGGCCGTGTGACGACTCAAGGCAAACGCATTAATCACCGCAAAAGCCACAATTCACAGCATTTACGTACAATAAAAATTATACCGGGTAAATCATGATTTTTCAGTTGAAAAAGTAGCGAACACTTTTTACTTCCATTACACGTTAACCCAAGTTTCTCCTTTCCTCCTTAATTAGCTTTCAGGAAATGGCGAAGTATGACCTTCCTGCCATGTTGGAATATGCTTTAAACATCAGTGGTCAAACGCATCTTTTCTATATTGGTCACTCCCAAGGAACTCTGACAGGTTTTGAGGCCTTTTCGACGAACCTCAAGTTAGCGAAAAAAGTGAAACTGTTCGTTGCGTTAGCACCAATCTTCTATTTAAACCATACCTCAGCGTTTGCAAGAGATGTGGCTTTTACCCTGTATCCTTTCGAGGTAATAAAGCTTAAACAAAGTCAAACTAGTGTGAAACTATTGGCTTGATATCAGATACCGTAACACTCCGAAAATAAGCCCCTCCATGTATAAGCCCCTCCAAATTTAAGCCCCCAAAACCGGTAACGCAAAAAACCGTGCGTTGAATCGCCCCCCGGGAATCGCCCCTCCAAATATAAGCCCCCCGGGGGCTTGTACTTGGAAAATTGCCCTCAAATACAAAGTAAATCAAAGCAAAAACGGTAAATTTACTTCCAACCATAAGGCTAGCCCAATCGATTTTGAAACGCAAATTTCCCTCCGTAGATAAGCCTGTCCGAATATAAGCCCCTCAAAAAGGGCCTTTGAAAAATATAAACCCCGGGGCTTATTTTCGGAATTTTACGGTACTTAACATTTGCAGTATCTTACTTGTCATCACCTCAAACTGTTTTTGTTAATTCAAGTTTAGCTTATTTTGTCACATGAAAATAATGTAATGGCGATATTGAAACGTGAAACGCTGTGCAAAACTTCAGCTTGGTTGGTCTCCTGCCTACCAATTAGATAACAGGTTATGTGTGAGAATGTATATAGTAACTAGATCAGAGAGGCACTAAATCTCAGAGAAAAAAATGGGCAAATAAGGTATGAATGATTTCGCCAGCCAATAAGGCTTAAAACTTTCAATATGTATTACATTATTTTTTAATATACCTTTGTCTTATAAAGTATAATCCAGATTTATTTTTTAATGGGATCTTTTTATCCCAATATTGACTGAGAAAAAGCCCCCGTATCAGTAATCTTGTCGTATTAAATTTTTTATCCTTTTGTCATAGGAACTTCTTCATCCCCTCGGCGAGTACGAATTCTTGTCAGGTCGTTTCCTGGAGTTTCTGATAGACATCGGCTTTTGTGGACGGAAGTGGTCGGAGCATTATTGCTATGACGTGGGAGGAATTATCTTTGGTTTTGATGACCCTAACAATAACATGGTGAGAAATGTGACCATCTGCAAAATCTAGCTTACTTAGGAAAATAAGTTGTATTTGCTTGAGAGTAGCATTGACTTTCCTTTTTGAACCAGACTTAGTAAATCGATAAAAATCGACATCGGAAATCAATCGATATCATCGATATTAATCGATCTAATTCGCCGATTAATATTGATTGATATCGGAAATCGGTAGAAATCGAAGTCACAGGAGAAACGATTTATCGATTGTTATCGCTTAACAAGATCGATAACAATCGATAAAAAATCATCGTCGATTTCTGTCGAAAAACCGATATTAATCGAAGTCACAACTATTTTTCGACTCTAGTAAGAGACCTCTAATTTTGGGTGGTCTTGTACCGGTGGTTCGACTGTGTCACCTTTAGATACTGGCTCCATTTCTGATGTGTTTCTCTGGTGGATTTTGTCATCCTCGAAGCAAATAGCATTGTTTTAATAATTTTATCAGTTTGGAACTGACATACATAATTCACAATGTTTTCGTTACATACAGAAAGATCCAAATTTACATATTAATTAGGACTTTATTCCATCCTTACTAGAGCCGTGTGCCGATTTATTTATCGAATTGGCCAGCGGGTACTTCTTTCAAGAACATCATTCATTTTGGACAGGTTTGTATCGTGTCTGCAAGTTTGCTAATTCTTTTCCCATTTGTTTGATGTTCTTCATTTCTAATCTATTTCAGTTGTCGTTGTTGGATTAATGCAGGTATCAATGTTTGGACGAAGAGGAGGGGTACGGGTATGGGTGCGGCATATGAATTTTTCTGCATTTTGGGGGTCAAATTCCCGAGCCTTGGGACTCAAAAATAGTTCACATTTGATCAAATATCCCTTTCTGAGGTTGACAAAACCGCAGTTTGGGGCAAAATTTGTGGCCAAACTCCCCAGAAATCCCCAGAAATCCCCAGAGAGGGGACAGAGGAAGTGTTCAAGAGCGACACTTATGCCAGTAAGCCACCCCCACCCCCCTTCTCTCTTCCCCGTCTAGACACTGCTACCTGCATAATGAGCGAATGTTCGGAGCAACCTCCTCCCTTGGTATTAACAATGCTGGGCGTGGTCCGTTTACGTGCTGGAACATGAAAAGCTGTGTGCTGGAAACTAGCAAGAAGCGCGAGCGGAGGATGATGGGAAGACCGCCGAGCGCAAGCGGCGGGGAGTTTCCTTCGCCCCCGCTTTACTTAGTTCTTAAATAAAATGTCCCCAAAATAAGCGGTTGCGTGCAACTTGGGACGAGGCAGTCTTCGGAGACAAAGACATAAGTTGTTCTTACACCTTTTTTGCGGATTGCCCACATTAACGCAGCAATTTAGCAAAAGAAACCGCTGTGGTTTATACGAAATACATTTTAAAAATTGAGAGAATCGGTTAATTTTAGCTTTGGCGCACCTATCTCTCTGCAAGTAACACTCGAGGAAATACCAGCTATTAAAGGCTTCACTTGTGCATGATTGTGCTGGGCTGCAGAAATGCCAATGAGTCAAACAATTGTTTTGTGAAATATCCATCTTTTAGAAAAAGGATGTTTCAGAGTATTCAATATACTAGTTCACAATTTCTAGCTGATAATGGCTAATTCTGCTATATATGCTTGATCAGAGAATGAGAATTTTGCGTTAATGGCACAAAAAGTGTACAAAAGGATTCGCCTACCGTACAGAAAAAAGGCAGCTAATGCATACAATTTGTGCACATATTTTCTTTGTTATTAGAGATTCTTTCAGCATGCGCAGTATGTTAAAGCAAACTTTTGGTGGTCTCACTTGTAGGGTTCTAAAGGGCCTGTTTGCATGGAGGTGGGGGACACCAGGTAGCTGAGGTAACCCACTCAGGTGGGGTAAAAAAATAACCCGCGTTTATTTTCAATGTTAGCTAGGGCCTGTTTACATGAAGGTGGGGGACCCCAGGTAGGTGAGGTAACATGTGGCGGGTTACCCCACCTAACACGTAAACGTGATCACATTAAAATGAGAGATTATATGGACAGGCGGGTTACCCCACGTAAGCGGGTTACCTCACCTACCTGGGGTCCCCCACCTCCATGTAAACAGGCCCTTACAACCTCGCCATCCCGGGGTGCACTTTCTCGAGATTATTGAGTGGTCGCTAAACACGTAAACAAAACAATGGCGGGCAAAAGCTTGGCGCCTCGGTGGGTCACCCCACACCTATCATGCAAACGTGAACAAATTAAAATGAGCGATTATAAGGACAGGCAGGTTACCTTACCTAAGTGGGTTATCTCACCTACTTGGGGTCCCCCTCCTCCATGTAAGAAGGGCAAAAGAATGTGATCCCGTGTATCTAAGAAGATTGATTTATTGATTGATTGATTGACAGATCATAGTGGCGGGAAGGTGTCAGAAGTTTGATTATGGAAGAGAAGGAAACTTAAGGCATTATCATCAGGTATGTTTACTCATTGTTGGATATTTTTCATTTATTAGATTGTGGACTGATGAAGATATCATATAGTATAATCACACGTATCCGGGTATTTTTGAAAACGTAGATTTTTTCCCTCCGTTTTAGCCTTCCGTTCACATGTAAACGGCGTTTTCGGGAACCAAAAACGCAGCTTATCGAAAACTGTTCCGGTAGCGGAGTTTCTTGAATACGCCAACTTATCGTTTTCGTGCGGAGGGACGGAAGCGGAGGTTTTTGAATACTCTGATGTAATACATCATCTAGTGCATGCCCTACATCATCTAGTGCATGCCCTGTAAGGGATGCTAACGTAATTCCATTGTCCTAGCGTTTTCGTGAGGAGGGGCGAAATGATTCGAATACGCTATGTGTCCGTTGTTAGTTAGTTTGTTTGTTTGTTTGTTGTTGCAGTTGTATTTTTTTTTACCTTCCTGTTTCCTGTTGCAGTCGTAGTTCAGTGAGGATTAAATTGCACCAATCACAGCCAACCGTTGCGATACAACAGACACTGCGTATTAAATCACACAACCTCTTCCTCATCGCCTGACGAAGACTAGTAAGCAATGAAGACGTTGCGTTGCGATCTAAATCCCAGGGCCGGGTGTTCAATGCTGGGTTATGATAACCTAGGCTTGCGCACCGGAGGTGCGATATTTGAATTCAGATATGAAAGCTTAAACAGCAAACTCAGTTTAATTCTTTTTGTCTACACTTTGGTGATTGGATGCTCTAAAAAAAGGGAAAATTTTGAGCCCAGGTGACTACATCGTGAGACAAACGTTAACTTCATTATACAACGTAGCACTCTTATTTATTTGGTATCTCGAAGTTTCACGCAGTTTAGTAGGCAGCTTAAGCAGCGACGCACGTCAACCGGAAGTGAGGTATTTTCCCTCTTAACATGCCTTGATGATATAAAATTTGTATTCCTTAGCTTCTTTACTGTTATAGAGGCGATTTGACTGAAAATTTGCGCGAAACCACCGTCAAAAAATGAAAAAAGGCCACTTCCGGTTGACGTGCGTCGCTCAAAAACGTTGCTGCTTAAGCTCCCTATTGTCTTCAAAACTATGTTTCTATTTTTCAGGACACTCCACCGGTCTATGACGTGTCTAAAATGACCACACCCACGGCTTTTTTCTACGGTGGCAACGACGGACTTTCCAACAAAACCGATGTTCAAGCTTTAGCAGCCAAGATATCCAATCTTGTATTCGATGATTACATCGCGGAATATAATCACATAGACTTTATCTTTGGAATAGATGCTCCCAAACGCCTGTACAACAGGATTCAAGACATACTGGAGAAATGTCTGTGGGAAGAGGAATGAAAACGTCAAGTGAATTATTCAACTCGTCATGCTTCTGCGATAAATTGACAGTATAATGAAAATGACAACTGGATGAGGTTGGATTGAGGTTTTGAAACAAAATTTGATTATTTATATGTATTTTAATTTTTTTAAGAGGATGCGAGCACAAGACAGCCACTTCCTTTTTCTTTTCGTGAACTTTGATACAGTCTTTTAGAATTAGACTCTAGAAAAAATTGCCAACATTTAACGAATTGAACGAGATGGAATAAGCGCGATTAAGTTTGAAGCGGCGCGAATTCACTTTTAAAGTGAAGTTTTCGTTAGCCTGCGTAGCAGGCGCTTGGAAGTAGTTGGCACAAGAAAAAACGGGCGCGCGAACTCGCGCGCGCCCGTTCTCTCTTTCGCCCGCTACTTCCAAGCGCCTGCTACGCAGGCTAAGTTTTCGTAGCCGTCGCCGTCGTTGTAGCCAAAGCTCCCTATTGCTTTCAGAAGGAAACCAACTGCATAGTTAGTCTTCTGCAGGAATGAGTACAGTAATGTTACTTTCACTATCGGCAGAAAAAGCGTATTTTCAGGTGTATCTTTCTAATAAGGCGGTTTTATTGTCATGTTGTTTTCGTAGCAGGAGCTTGGAAGTAGCGGGCGAAAGAGAGAACGGGCGCGCGCGAGGGAGGCACGCAAGGGGTGAGTCTCCTTCTCGCGCGCCCGTTTTTTCTTGTGCCAACTACTTCCAAGCGCCTGCTACGCAGGCTAGTTGTTTTTATGATTCAGTGGGAAAAACAATTTGCCACCATATGACAAATTTAGCGAGCTGGAGTAATTAAGGTACAGTTTGAGGATAGTCAATAATGTGGAATGGTCATGAACCCGACAGTTCTTTGTTATATGTTTTTGTTCGCTTTATTGGACCTCACCTTGCACAACGTTCAATAGTATTCCTATCATTTTGAACTTACTGACCAGCATAAACATCGCAATTCAGTCACAATTTTGGATTTTGACAGGAGATTAGAAGTCGAGGAGCCAGAAAAATGATGACCAGAAAATGATGTCTCGACTATCTGTTTTTAATGCCCCTGCTTCTAAACCTTCTTGTTTCAAATTCGGATATTCATCCCAAGAAAGGAAAATCCCGCGTTACGCGTTGTGAAAATAGTAAATCACGCTTCATCGTACTGCCAATCACGCATCGCGCGGCTAATTTGGGTCTGATCACGCATCACGATAGCCTGCGAACAGCAGACGCATTTCCGGTCGTCGTTTCTCTCCCTTTTTCGGAGGGAGAGAAGCGACGACCGGAAATGCGTCTGCTGTTCGCAGGCTAGCATCACGCTGAAGATTTGGTCACCGAAAACCCAAAAAGCCTGCTACGCACGGTGTCTCCATGGTAGTCTTATGGTATTCCCATTTCAATACTTTTCTTTTCATTAGTGAAATTAAGAAAATATCTGTTCTGTTTAAAGATATTCATAAATTCGCATGAATGCTTTCCACCCTCATCAGCCTGATTAGCTAGAAACATGATAAACATTCCTTTTATTCTCCTCGCTCTTTGTTTTCCGGCGCTACGATGATCTTGCAAAATCCTCGCAGCAGGAAATGGGTGGTCTTGTGACTGGTGGAGAATTACCCTTAAGTATCGGGTGTCTTTTAAGCATACGCACTTCTCATGACACGGTGATTCCGCTTCGAGATCTGTCAAGTAAGCACCTTCGCTCTTGAAAAGGTAAGTAATTGATCTATTTTTTCTTTTACTAGGTGAAATCCTCGTTTTAATACCATCTCTACAACACGAGACAAAACAAGTACTAATTATGTTTTTCAGATCTCGCCGGAGTTGCTTGTCCATCGTTTGAGCATAAAGGTCATAGTGCATTGCGTGGTTTACTCCTGTTTACCAGAAAATGGGCAACTACGTAGAGACAAACTACATAATCTTGGCTTTAATATTTTTGCCTTTGTTGAGCTGCGCTCCTTTGAAGAAGACACAGGAAAAAGAAGATCCCGACCTTTACCGAAACGTGGTATTTAAATGACTTTTGTTTACTGTTTTTTTGTGATCCGTGATGCATCCACAGCGTAATTCGAATTCGATGTCTTCATCTAGTCGATCATTTTCAAACACGAAATCAGGGATCAGATTTTCAGTCTTTCAGTCCTTGGATCCCTTTATTTTAATCAGAGCAATCCTTTACCAAGAGAGGATTTCCAAATTGATCCATACCTTTACGCAACAATTGTTATTACTGTGACGACTGTGACTTCTCACCAAGGGATAGAGTAAAAGAAACTACTTGAATGTCATAACATGTCATAAGAAAAAGTGTAGACCGTAGTTCCTTTTTCCTCGAAGTTTTTATCGCGAATGAAGATACTTGAAAGAGAATCTTGGATGTTAAACGAAAATCTATTGGAACGGCTCAGCCCTTCCGGTTCACAAAAACAAAACGAACAGAAAATTTCTTCGATGCACGTGGAAGCGAAGAACTAACTAAATTATGCTTCGCCTACACGCCCTCAAGAAAGACTGATTCCGTCGATTTCTTGCACAAAAAAGATAAATGTAGGGATTGAGTTAGTGTTGTTTGTCTCTTATTGAAATTACAGCTGATCAAGTTAAAAAAAAAAAAAAAATGGAACCCCGCCTCCCCTCCCAAACAAACTGGACAAAGGTTGTTTCCAAGCAAGAGGTCTCACGCAAATAGCATTTATTGCAATAGGCTACTTGCGAAGTATCAAATTCATAGTTGGCTCCGACGCCTAAGGGGATTATAACATAGGAACAATGAAGCTACGTGAATTGTTAATCCTCGAATCTTAATCCCTTCGGAATCCTCTGTTTTGTACCCCCTGCGTACCCCTAACCTTCGGAGCCAAATATGAATTTTTATTATTCGAAAGTGGCGTATTTTGATATCGTATTACACAGCCCTCAAGAAAGATATTTATACATCCGTTGTCGTGATTGCAGAGTGAACTCATACGGGACAGAGGTTATCCAGTTGAACAGCATTACGTAACCACTCAGGATGGCTTCATTCTCAACCTCCAAAGGATTCCTTATGGGCGACAAACTAGCAAGGACACTTCCTCTAAGGCCGTTGTGTTCCTCCAGCACGGCCTAACGATGGACAGCACTAACTGGGTTCTTAATGGACCAACAAACAGTCTTGGGTACATTCTGGCTGATAGAGGGTTTGATGTTTGGCTTGGGAACATCCGAGGTAATGTGTATTCACAAAGGCATGTAAAACTGGACCCTAGTCAAGAGGAATTCTGGAACTGGAGGTAATTCACTTCTTTGGTAGCGAAGAGTTTGACAAAGTAGTTCACGCGCAAATTGTAGAAAAGCGTTCGTTATCAGCAGAAAATTGGAAAAGCGTTCTTTCTAAAATAGTGCACGAAGTAATTAGTTCAGTCGCTCGAAAAAACGGTTTTAATCTCCTTAATCGCAAATCAGTTCACTAAAAGTGTGCGGGTGCTTAAGGACCGTTCATTTTTATGGGTGGGGCGGGGGGGGGGGGGCGAGGGTGGGATTTGACAAGTAGATTCTGTAGTATCTGATGATCGCCTCTCTTCATTAGAGATGACCTCCCCCCGCTCCCCCAAAAAATAAATAATAATCATAATAATAATCATAATCATAATAATCATAATCATAATCATAATAATAAAAGAAAGAGAGAAAGGATGAAGAAAAAATGGAAAATGACTAACTGCACGTAAATCGCTACCTGAAGGTTAAAATTTTTTAACCTAGGTTGATTCTCAAATTCCTTTGCTTCCTAGCCCTACGTCATAAATAATTAGGGCTACTGAGACAAAGAAACCATTTACACAAACTTCTGCATCAACATAAACTGACTATAGAATTTGACTTGGTGGGGGGAGGAAACGACCCGCTACGAAGTATACATATCCAAATCAGCTGAACAGACTGAAAGGAGTAGAAAAGGTTCAATCACAGGTTCAATCACGATCCAATCACAGCCCATATTTTCTGAAGCTTCATAAATGGGGCGAACCATTTAATTGTCCCACCAAGTATCCTACTCAGCAGTTTTTGTCTCACGAAACGCTCCTCCCCTCGATATAGGCGAATTTTTGTTTACACTTTTTGCCTCATTAACATACGCTTTTCACTATCTGATGACTCTAAAAAATAAAAACTCTGAATATTGAAAGGGCGTAACAGTTTCAGTTATCTCTGAAAAATTGAGCCCAATACACCAAATAGTCTCGGAGAAATTCAGTTGTCTACTAAAATTTCGAAATTTTACAGAGAATGTATGACTCTTTAACTTTTTTGCCACACAGTAATTTCATAGTTTTTGATGGATGATATTTCCTTCAATATTGCTTGTACAGAGCTGAAAATTGCACAAATTGCTCAACTTAATCAGCCCTTTCAACTTTTGCATTTAGTTCATATATACGGCCACGGCTTCTATGAGTTAAGTCGTATACTAATGAGGTAAATTGTAAACATTGACGTCAGTAAAGATTCGCCTATTGAAAGTGCTATTTTCCGTTTTTATTTTCAATTAAACCTTGCCTGGCCATCACACTCACTTAAACATTTAGTTGGCAAGAAATGGCTGAATATGACCTTCCCGCCATGTTGAACTATGCCTTGAACGTCAGTGGACAGTCTCAGCTCTTCTACGTTGGCCACTCCCAGGGCACGCTCATTGGCTTCACTGGCTTTTCTTCCAATCCTGATCTGGCCAGTAAAGTAAAGATGTTCTTTGCCTTAGCACCAGTCTATACAGTGGGATATTGCTCCGAGTTCCTTCGCAGTGCTGCTTACGCTTTGTATCCAGTCCTGGTGAGTTTAGGGAGATTGTAGTCAAAGAAGCGGGTCTAACAGGTCATTTCCAAGTTGTCCAAAGCCTCTGTTTCAAAGCGACGCTAATTGCGACGCTATCATTTGATATGAAATTGATCTTTTATTCCCATGCAAATAAAACTCATTTTCACAAGAACGGTTTTGCACTTAGCCTCATTTTGAAAGTGAGACATTGTGGAACTTGGAAATGGCTTATTCCTGTAGGGGCTTTAAATACTAAGTAGAAACAACAAAAGTACCCATGGAATGAAAAAGTCGCCCGAGATAAATCCCACCAGCTCCGTAGCCAAGGTAGCCTCCCACGCAGGCGTTTGTAGGGGAGTTCGTTTTTCATCCTCCTCTGTGGGGAGGGATGAAAGACGAGCTCCCCTAAAAACGCCTGCTTGGGAGGCTATAGCCAAGGATGATGTACCTATATTAGACGTTTCTATAGTGATATATGTTGTTTTTTTTTTCGACCTTGTAATTTGAGGTTGAATTTCTCAAACTTTAAGAAGTACTGAGTCTTCCGCGATTTTTTTTTCCGGCTAGAATTTTAAACTGAGGAGTTCCACTAAACTATCAAACGTTTAATTACTCGCCAAATATTAACGATGAAATATTCAACTTGCTTGTTGATATGAATTATTCTTTTATAGAAAGTTTTTCAAGACTACCACCTCGGGAAGATGGGGACGAATGAGATGGTGAACCTGTTGACAGAGAAGTCGGTCTGCGATAGTCCTTTTACTGAGAAGGTCTGTTATGACGCTGGGCAGGAGATCTTTGGATTTGACAGCGCCAATATCAACATGGTAAGAAAGAAGTCCGTGATCACGCCTATCGGGACGGCCGTCCATAGAATACTTCCCGTTGTCACGCAATCCTTCTTGGAAGGGGTGGGTGATAAGCCAAAAAAACGCCTAATTAGGTTATTTATGAGGAAAGTAAGGCTATATTCACAGTCTATCGGATAGATTTTCGTCCCGAAACAAACAGGCATCAGGTATAGTATGAACACCTATCCGATATATGACTCTCTCCACTTTAGAGATCGGCGTGACGCAGCTTCACTCCGTTAAAAAAATTGCGCCAAAATCACCGTTTTCATGCTTGATCAGAAGCCCTATCCGGAATAGTTTTTTGTGCCGGCGCTAGAGTTATCCAGTATTTAACAATTATTCCTCGAGCCCGAATGAGCTTCAATAGTTGACTATTGACTCAGAGGCCATGAGGGCGAGAGGAAAAATTGTTTTGGTAAAATCCAAAGTAGTTGCTCAAAAATATGGAGAAAACACAACTTTCGCTAGTAAAACGCAATTCAGCCGCTATCGTTTTCAATTGGTTTTCGAACCCGGCGCTTTTCGCTACTAGTGAGCTATAATATAAGCCTCGTGGTTTCTTTCAGGTCTCCTCGCCATTTACTTTTCTTTAATCCCAAGACATATTATTCCAATCTTGCGTTGTAAAATTGTGTATATATGGCAAATAAAGAATGAATGAATATAACATATAGCCTAGTAGTAGCTCAACCAATCAGAACGCAGCATTGATAAAAGACCACCAGTTGGATTTTACTAAAGTGTGTTAGTCAAATGACTATTTCCAGCTACCGGTCTGAAGTAAAGACTCTTTACCCTTTTTTTGAACCTAGCCTAAAGTCATCTAAAATTAAGAATAGAGTGTGAACGAGTAATTAGGGTGCCGTAGCTGCGGTTTGAAGAGACGGCTCCCTTTTCCTTGGTACTCCAGCGGAACGGTTTGGAGATAGCTAACGAACCGAAGGTAACTGCCGGGAGTTTAGAGGCACACAACTTTCTTGATGTAAGAAACCGGGCACAAACATCCTGGCAGGCGAAGCATGCACACTTTCACATTGTTCGTTTGGGTGGTTGCTACGTTACTATTCATGTACCTCATTGTTTTCATTATAAGTTATTTAATTCCCCTTTCGATCTATTATTCTAACAGCAGTCTGGTTTGTTTTCAGTCAAGAGTTCCCGTCATATTGTCTCATTGGGGATCAGGGACATCATTTAAGAATTTTGTCCACTTTGGACAGGTAGACCAGTTCCATATCTTCTCGGTAGTTTTAAATATGTCAATTTTGCTGATCACTCCTTTAGCTTATCGCTACTACCAGTAGGAAGTACAAAATATTCATTAAGGTAATTAACTTCAACAGTTCAGTGAACAAATCGTAGTTACTCGTGCCGGAAAACTCGGTTCCAGGGAAAACAAGCTGATACTTTCAAAGAGGCTTTGACCGGGCCCTAAAGTCCTGTTAGGTTTTCTACGTTTAAATCACAAAACTAAAGGATCTTCCGGAATCGTAAAGCTAAAGAAGAAATCTCCAGTTAATAATTGTAAATAGGAGAACGTATGGATCGTCTTCCTCCTCCTCTTTCTTCTTATAAGTAAGATTCCTAAAATTCAGTTTCCTTGATTTCCTTCTAACCCGGAATGGCTAGGAAAAGGCCGAAAGACCACATTCCCTCCCCTCCCCTCCCCTCCCCTCCCCTCGCCCCACCCCAACCTCCAGCTCAAGATTTCATCGTCAGTTCAGTCGATCTGCAAGCTAAAAGACTTGGCTGGTTATTTAAACTTAGTTATTTATGACACTTGAAACTGCTCTTTTTTCCAGATGGTGTTGTCTAAAAAATGTGCGAAATTTGATTATGGATACTTTCAAAATTTGGTGCGTTACTATCAGGTACAGGAGTTGTTTTTTGCCTTGTCTGTACCGTTATTATCTTGTAATGTATATGACACAGATTTTTCTTCAGAAAATTTGGACACCGCGACTAAGTTGACTCGACGCGGATGTAAAAGTTCAAGTCTGACTTCCAACCCTTTCAAACTGTAGACTTAGACTGTAGCTTCTATGCTCAACGTTACTTTTTATCCAACTTGGCAGCGACGTGTGTTGACTTATTTTTTTACGAAAGTAGAAGAATTGTAATTGTAAGAAGAATTGTATGAAACACTAGTTACTGAACTCTAACAAAAAAAGATATTGAGGTGGACCAGAGTCTATTAGTGATGGATGTTGCTGAGATATAGTTTCGGACCGAGGCGTAATAACGGTGCGCTGGTTACAGCGGGTTCGGTTATGACTATCGGTTTATCAATCAACGGATGCTAGCAGTCGAAAAAACCAGTTAGAGGAGGGAAAACAAGATTGACTAGTCCAAAAGTTCGGTCTCCGGCGACCTCAAAGGGATGACACGATTCAGGTAGAGCCTCCTTTTTCTTCTTCTTACTCAAGTGTCAAGAACACGAAAGAGGGCTCTTCTGGCCGGGTGAATCTGGTCTGCAAATCATGCGAAAACTACCATTTACACCAACAGTTTCTTCGTTTGTTCTTTGTTTTTGTTTAGAGAAATCATACAAATTTTACAGGTTAAGGGCAAATTATTCCAACAATTGTTGAAATCATCTCACTTTTATTTTTTACTTCAGTTCCATCCACCAGAGTATAGTGTTGAAAACATGGCAACACCTGCTGTACTCTTTTCTGGCTCAAATGACAAACTGGCTAGCCCAAAAGACGTGCAGCTACTAAAGAAGAGAATAACAAACTTGAGGTACTTTCAAGAGATAAAAGGATGGAACCACGCCGACTTTCTATTCGGTAATGACGCCCCAAGCGTCCTCTATTCCAAAATGCTGGACATGATAGAGGTCGAACAGTTTCTTGGAAAAAATATGGCTGAGTTTCGCTTAATGGAAGAAGAATAAACTGCAACTGTTAAGCCGTGTCCAATTTGTAAATTTGTCCAGTTTGTAAACAGACACAAACCTATGGGTATACTGTGGCAGGTATATTTTCTTCGTACCTAATACGTAAATTCCAAGACCAGTCATCTTCTAGCTGGCTAAATCATGCACTTTGTTGCCCATTCAACGACCCATTGGGCGCTGCTTGTCATAAGGAAAGGCTAAAAATCATATTTCTTTTTTTTTTACGCGCGCCTTGACATTAATTTGACAACGTGAAGTCATATGAAAACCTTCTCGAGGTCGCTTGAAAAAGTTGTGTAACACCGTTTGCATGGAACACGCTCTGGAGGCCGCTAACGCAAAAAGTTTGTTTGTGTTTACAAACTTAAACAATTGGACATCGCCTTTTAATGCTTTACCGGGTTTGTTTGGGGGTTTATTATTTATTGTTTACTTGTATGTTCGGGCTTATTCCATTTTCTTGTTTTTCTCTTGTTGTCGTCAATTCTTTTTGTTTTATCGCACTTCATGTGCTACACTAGAAGAATTGTTATATCATTAATTTTCTATCCTTGTACCTCCCGGTACTAAATTTTGTGAATAAGGATTCCCATTGTTTTTCAGTTCGTTTGTTTTTACGCCAGATGAGTGAAGGTTCTCTAGATCTGTGTGCTTATGTCTTAAACTGGGGTAGCTTTAGTGACCAATGTTTTTTTTTTCTTATGGTGATAGGATGTGCTACACAAATAAAAGTTGCAATGTCGTTAGAATTGTGTTGTTATAGCGGAGTTTCACGCCCTATAGCCAAGGCTAAAAAATCTATATACTATTATGGCCATGTCATATCTTGACGAAACAGGCTTACCGCCATTCCACAGTCTGCTGATGGAATATTTCAAGAAGTATACACAAAGTGTTTTCCGTTGGCGGTTTCGATGACGTATAGGGGTTGTTTTTGCGTGTATAAAATGTTCTTGGTTCATTCCCATTGTTCTAGTGTATGGCAACGATAGATAATAAGTGTAATAAAAAATGATAAAATGGAAACAACGGCAATGGCGAAAACGCATGTTTTCAAGATTCCTTCTCAAACTCATTAATAATTCATTAAGAAAATACAAAGGAAATTAATGTTTAATGAGTGTTTGGAAATCGGATGAAACACTGCTTAGTATTTGCATCCTTAATTTCTCCTTCAAAAATGATTTTGTTTGAGAAGAAATATCAAACATTCGACACAGTGTTTTATCACCAGATGAAACACCTCGAAGTTCGTCAAAAATACTCCGCTGCGCGTCGTATTTTCAACTCTCTTGTCGGTGTTTCATCTGGTGATGAAACACTGCATCTCATGTTTGATATATTACTTCACCTCGTGATCAGCAAATAATAAGGCATAAATACAGTATCTAAAAATTGCTTTCTATAACTCTTCCAAGAACCCCGACAATGAGCTTTTATAAGGCAAAATATTACAAAGCTGATAACACTCAAACATTTGTCAAACATACTAATGCTTCACACCCCCGGATTGTCCACAAGCTCAAAAGTATAAAAGAGTTACAATGACCTCCTCTCCCTCTTGGAGAAATAAAAGCTGGAAATGAACAAATAAACCAAAGAAGGGGCTCAAGTAAAACATTTCTTTAACATTTCTTTCAGTCCTGGCTCCCTCCCAAACTAATGCATACTAAGAAAGAGGCACTATAAACAAAGTGTAATATCCAAACCCCCTGCTGGATCAGTGTCTTACAACGCTTGCTTTATTATTGGCTTTTTACCACGATTCACGAAAATTTACAATAAATCATATCATACAATACAACAATATTCATGGCATTTCTATATTAGGTGGTTATAGTTGAGTCACTACTGGTAGATTTTTTGATTTAGTTTGAAAAAGGCTCATTTAATCATTTGGTCCCTCCATGGTCTATCCGTTAAGTTATCTTTTGATTTCCAGTTTGCGAATGATCTCATCTTCAGACGTCAAAGTCTGTGAAGCAGAAAGATAAAAATCAATCAAAGAGTAAATTACGCTAAGGCGTTAATATGAAGATATATTTAATGTTGACTTATAGCAGGGTTAATGGATTAATTTTGTTTTTCAGTTGAGTGACCTAAACTGTTTTAATCAACCATCAGTGTGAGTTTCTCGATCGAGAAACCTCTGCAACCCCTCCTCCTAGAACAATATTCTTCTTGGAATGTTACTATGGAAAATTGTCTGGCTTGCTTGCAACTGAAGCAACAGCGTCACTTGATAATTAAAAGCCAAAGATTATTGCATTTAGTCCCAAAATAGGTGTCTTCGGTATATAGCACCCGTTAGATTTATCCTCAACGTCCTTGATCACGTGGCTCAAAGCAACCAATGACCTTTGTAACCTTGGAGGCACCATGTCGGAAAGAGGAAGAGATCTGGACTGAAGATAGCTCAGGATAATGTAAAGTCAAAAGTTTGCAGTTCTATCTAGTAATATGGAAGAGAACCTCTTAATAGAATTGGCCAACAAAATCTTGGCTGAAGGTGTCGTTGACAGTTCGTGAAATCTGCAAAATTTTAACGATTTTTGCCTCTAGCTAATTCCAAATATAATTTGTTCTATAACAGTCCAGAGCTTTATTTATTTAATAATATTATTTCTTTCACCTAGACGAACTGGCGTCCAATTAGTTTTAGTAAGACTAAGCCAATTCCATCCTAATCAATCATAACTTTGTTCCTCCTTCACAGTTCCTTTTATTAAAGTATTTAGTTAAAATGTAAAATTAATTTTTCAAGATAATTGTTAGTTTCTTTTCTCTCATTTTGCTATCTATGTTTAGTCATAGGCTTTAATCGTCTCACCCTTTTTTGCCGAGTTTTCGAACCTCTTCCGGTAAAGTCTCTCTCTCAAGTAATCAGCTTTAGCTGGCTTCATCCGGGAATGTTCTTCCTCAAATTCACGACCCCACCGGAGCCCCTGTGAGGCAGCTGGTTGTAAGCACACAGAAAAGAAGAGGCATGAAACGAACAGAACTGTTACCAGACTTTTTGCGTCCATTATTCAACCTAAAATGAAGTAGAAAAAGAGTCTAATAAGTTAGGATAGAACCGTCTTAATTCCGAAAACATATTAATAGTAAATTTGGCTCGACAGGCAAAAAAAGAGTGGTGCCTTTGAAGAATTGATAGCTTGCTTTGGCGAAAAAAGACTTCCCGCCGAAATTGTTTTGAACATGGAAAAACATTGGATAGTTAGAAGACGACTTCAGAATGCATGAGGTCTCTAATATACACTTTGTTGGGTTTTTTGCATATAGGCATTATCTATCGAAAAAAACAAAAAGTTACTTGGAAACTCTATGTATAATTGATGTTAAATTGTTCTGAATTTTCTTTCTGAAATATATGAAGGTGGATCTCTTTTTATGATTTTTTTTCAGCGAATACTGACAAAAAGAGGAATTTAAGATGCTGTTTTTGGCCCTCGTTTACTTTTAAAACACCTGTCCGCTCCTCGCTTGGACTCAGTCACCGATAACATGCCTCACCTTGGCTGAGACCAGAACTATTATGATCATACCGCTGAAAGCTGGTTGAAAAATAACATTCGCGAAATGTTTGGTTTATGACTTCATAACAAAATTGCAGTTAACTGTTAAGATGATGCGGTCTCATCGAAAACTATACAGAAATAAGAGGTCCAAGTTAAAAACCCTTGAAAAAAAATATATTGCGATTCTTCAAACATGTGCTTGTTGTAGCACTTTGGCGCAATCTCGTGCGAAAGATCATTGTCATAGTTTTGCCGCTATTTTCAAGAAGCAAAAATATGATTCTTGCCCTTACCTCTTGGTGATTTTGTTTGACTGTACGCTTCTGCCGCTTTTAAACTCTGAAAATCTTATGCGCTCCTCGTTAATTTAAAACCGACTTATAAAGCCGACGGCCTTTGATATGTGACTTATTTTTACAAATTAAACAGACTAAAAGGATGATTTTACATCTAAATCATGGTTAGGTAATTACTTTAATTACTTCCGCATATTAATATGATCACCCCCAAACAAAGCGTTTTTACGCGTGTTAATATTATTATACTTTCAGAAAGGGTTCTCTTTTATTCTATAGCCGTAAAATCACTCCAGTTCGGACTTGAAGATCCTTTGAATGTTAAGCCGAGTTGGTTGGTATTAATTTTAGAGAAACGGAAAATAACCATGTTAAAAGTATTTACGATGAAATTTAAAATGAACCTCGTTTTCATGCATGGAAGGCTAAGAAATACAGAAGAAGCGTGTGAACTGTCAAAAACTATTGAAACGCTCAAACGACGTCAACATTTTGCCGAGGAAGTATTGCCTCGTCAAGTAAAAATTTGTACACAAAGGTATAATTGCTAAATTGGATCTTTGCAAACAACTTATTTTCCTTTTTAAAGGTTAATTTTCTTCACTGGCTTGCCGTCGTTTCCTTTTTATTTATTTATTTTTTTCTTTAATAAAACCATAATGCCCTTTTTCGAGGGAGGCTGTTAGAATGTCACCGACCATTATCATTTTCAGTGAATTATAATTGGGCGACAGGACGATATTTTAAGGATAAACACAAGTCGGAATCTTTTATTTTTAAACAAAAGACATTGAATCTAAATCTAAATATTTTTCCTCTATCATTTCTGTTTTCAACGCTCAGGAACTTAATGAGATATTTGTAAGTTGAAAATTAGACTGCAAATAGGCATCGTTCTTTTGATTTACACCAATACGCTGTTAAAATATAGTTTGTGGAATACGGATGATCGGATATTGGTTTATTTACAACGAAAGATTGCCTTTAAAAAAACTCTTTGTAGTTGACAATAAACATGGCCTTCTTAATAACCAACTATCAATTGAGAAAGGTAATTCAGTCGGAAACTGTTTTTGTCTGTGTTGACGCGACAAAGGATGGTGTTATAATGTTCCAAAAAGATGAGGATAAAAAGATAATTTACTAAATTAAAACCCAAATTAGGGAACTACTTATTGGAAATAGGACCTTGAAGATCGCCCAGTTGAGAAAAATCAAATTTACATCTTTGTCAAAGGGACTCTATATTAAAAGAAAATCTTAGGTTTTAAATGAAGAAGCCTGTTTAGCAATTGGAATCAGTAAAGCTCATGCTTAAAGCTAGGAGCAGAAAATGGATGCAAGATCGCAATCTTACAATAGTATTGACCACGAGATTACAATTTTAATTTTAATTATTTTTCAAGGTTAATTCCAAGTACGACAAATTATCAGAGTTTTTATAACACTGATATCCCTCGTGATATGTCTATATCAGTGTGGGTTGGTAGATGACACTGATACATAAGCTTTCTTGTATGGTTAGATTTCGACATTTTAGATTTTAAGGCTTTGGTTAGACTGAGTGAAGAAAATCATCGTTGTCTGAAACGCGCAGCTGGCATTCAACATTTTCATTTAATTGAGGCAATGAAAGTACGGTACTTTAACAAGGAATGGCTTTTTTCAAATTTTTATTCTTATTGCACTGAAGTTAACTCAAAAGTTATAGGCCGATGCGTCTGTCTTCCTTTCCTTTTCTTAGGCGCCAAGAAGACTGAACAAGCTGTTAATAACGATAAAGAACGGACGTATTAGCTTTATAACATATTAGTTCCGTTTACAAATCTCAAAGTTTGTGGACAATGCTAAATAAACATCTATTCTTTACCGTTTTTGTCGCTGCACACACGTCATAATAAAGTGCCTTTGTACACGGATTTGTTCGTCAGATGCCTTAAGTTATTTAAACAAATTTTAAGCCAACGTTTTTCCTGCTGAAAGTTTGCTGTTTTCTAAGAATATTCTTGATAAAGGGGGATTATTTTGAGTATCTAAAAAATTTGTCCCCTGCAAAGAATCAATTAAGTCATTTCTTGAATGGTAAGAGCTCTTTATTATTCCACGCTAACGCGAGGTTTATAGTTCATAATTTAACCGGAATTCACATCGAACGTGGCTCCCAATAGGACGATCACCCACGCAATGGTGATGTTACACGGGTCGATTTGCAACGACGATTTTTAACG